CATTTGTTAAATGTTTAGTTTGTTAATGTTTTGAGATTCCTATTTAATCCTGCTCCCCTAATCAGACTGCTTACTGCTCCGTTTCAGGAGGTGTAAAAAAGGTTTCAGAACACCCTAACCAGCAGTCCACAGACCCTCAGCAAACTATTTAGCCATTCCTTAGCACAAATTGTGTTTGAGAAGAGATTCCTAATCCTAAATGGGTAATAGGGGGAAGGCAGGAATGGCAAACCTGCCTGTCTCTCTGGTAAGATTCAGCTGTCTCCACCTCGGCTCATGACTATATTTGGGAAGCTGACAACTGGCCGCTTGGCATGTTCAAGTGATTTTTTTCCCTAGTAGCAGTGCTTCCTTCGGGGTCCTAGTGCGATGGTTTTTCTTCAGGCTTTCTCTCAGGAAAGGAGAGAGACTGACTTCTGAACAGCATGTGCTCTCTGGTTGGTGCTTTGGCTCTTTAACAAAGGCAGGGGTTCCTTCTCCTATTTCCAAAAGGCTTCTGTTCTCTTTTTACAGAAGCTGAGCTACTGGGCAGGGAATGTTTAAATAGGAAATGCCCATTTGAGCGATTAGAGGCCTGGAGTGAGTCTGTCTCACCATCATACATGGGACAAATTTTCCTGGATGCAGTGTTGTTGCCTCATTTCACACAGTGAGAAGGGCCTGCAAAATTTATGCAGAAAACTCTGTTGGGTTTTGTGCTTACGGTGAGCTATATTACCAGCCCTGATTGCTCAGAGATCATGAGAAAGGGTTGCAGATACCTTTTGGGCAGCTACTGTTTATTCTATTTTAAGTATTTTTTTTAAAGAGGGACAGAAGCAATATGCTCATCTAATCACAGGAGAATTATGAGGCTGAAGTTGGTTCATTATCCCCAGTTTGAAAAAGGAACCAGGAACTGGGAATAAGGGCCTGTGTATAAGGACCCAACTTTAGCCTCATAATTCTCCTGTGATCGGATGAGCATTCTTCAAAAGAGTCCTCAGGTAGTGGAGGCATGTGGTTTGAGGTGATCTGAAAAGGATTTTGCCCCATAATCTCAGCTTTCTATTCAAGACAATGTACTTGATATATAACATTATTTTACATTTTTATTAGTAAATATACATTTCTGATGAAATTTGAATTCTTTTGTCTAATTCATTACTAACAATCTTTAACTGTGTCAAGATTAGCTTGGAATAAGGAACCAGGAACAAGGAATGAACTTCAACCTCACAGGAGAGCTAGACTCTTTTTTTTTTAAAAAAACCAACAACTAAGTATTGTGAGACTTGTGATAAAATAGTGGGACTTAGCAAAATGTGTGGGTAATACACTGTACTGGGCCTCAGCACGAGTCTAGATTCAAACCTTTGCTGAGCTTTCTGTGTCATCTTAGACAAAGTCCACCCAGAAAAATTAAAGGGCTTGATTCTCTATTTGTAAAATGGAAGTAATACTTTCTTACCTATTTAGAGCAGCTCTCTACAGCATGAACTGTATGCTACTATGGGCCTGTACAATGCCAAGCACAATGAAGCCTCTAGGTCCTGCTATAATACACAAAATAGTAAGTTTTGAGTTTGGACTGATTTTTTTCTAAAAATTTCACCAAAAGGATCTCTTGGATATGCAATAGGAATGTCAAATTAGCCTGTTTGCTAGCTCCATCTTTCATGCATTAACTTTACTGATTCTTCTTTATCTTGGGACACTTTGGTCACATATTTCTAGGTGATGTCATCCTGGCTATACTGTTAGCCTGCATCTACCTGAGAGCAACAGCTCATCTTGCAAGTAGGGCAATTTGCACAGCAGGGTAACTTGCACTGTGCAAAGTTCTCCTGATGGGAACCAATTCATGCTTCACACAGGAATGTGCCAGTTGTGTTCCTTCTCTCCACTTACACAATCACTCCTTATTTATCCCAGTTTCATTTTGTAACGTTTACTCTGCAATAAACTGAGAGTTCAAGTGCTCCTCTTTAGTAACCCTCAGCCCAGATTCAGTTTTCAGGCAGACACATGCCAATCCCACCAATTTTAGTGGGAGTGCCAATGGGATTTAGGACAGAATTCAACATTAGATTTTATCATTGCTTACAGAGCTGTTTTATGGTCTGTTGGTTAAAGTACAAGTCAGGAGAGGATGATCCTGATCCTGCTAGTGGCTCACAGCAGGCACTACAGCAAATCCTCTAACCTCTCTGTGCCTGAGGATAATATTTACTCCCTACTGGCTTTTGGGATACTTAATTATTTCCTGTGAAGTGCTTGAGGCCCTTGGACAGAAAGCAGCATTGGAATGCTTTTGCTCTTAAGCAATTGAATTTAAATAATTTATTGTTAAATAGGAAGAGAGAAAATTAAAAATATGACTACTTGAGTTCAGTGTCCACACATTGCTTTGGCAGCTTGCCAGAATCTGAAGGGTTGCATTTAATTTGGAGCAGATTGCAAATTGCTCTTACTGTTAATAAAGAGGTAGAGTCATGGCGCTGCTTGGGTGCTTATATGAGGATGGTACTGCATGCTGGGAACCATGCTGCACCCATGTAGAAGAAGAAGTCTGCTATGCTTTGTAGGGTTCCTACATTTTATTATTTTGTGCTGGGAGATGAAAGTGTTGTCATGATAAGGTGTGAATGTTGCTGTACTGTGGTGCTGCAAAAACCTGCAGATAGACCTCTCAACACTTAGAGGATTCCATGGATATGAACACACAAGGTTCTTTGGGTAGATATCATATCTCTTATTAGACCAACTAAATAGTTGGGAAAATTGTTCTTTGCAAGTTTCAAGCACAAACACCCTTCTGCAGGCATGGGGAGAAGGGTGTTTGTGCACAAAAGCTTGCAAAGAACAATTTTTCCTACTATTTAGTTGGTCTAATAAGAGATATCACATCTACCCAAAGAACCTTGTCTGCCTATGTCCTTAGACCAACAGAGATACAACCAACAACCCATTGACATGAAGGCATGTATAAAACGGCCTACTTCCTAAAGGCTCTTTTGGAAAGCGTAGTCACCTCATGTCGTTTAGAGACCAGATACAGTCACTATAATGGTTTTCTCTACTATTGCCCTTGTACAGGGCATTTTCTAGAAAGTACTTGAAAAACACCCCCATAGATGAGGTAGCCAGTGATTCTCTCCACCACTTATCAGAGATCAGAACACAGTTCCTTTGGAGACTTCAAATGTCAGCAGCCTGGTACACTGCTGTCAGGCATTGGAGCAGAAATGTGGAACAGTTGCTGAAAACCTAATTGCATGTTTACACTGGCTTGCTTAATGGCAAAGCCGGACTGGAGCTCAGTGATAAAGTGCTGTGAATTCTATGTGCTTGGGCAAAGATAGATTATCAGCAGCAGGGTTGAGGACAGAAGTTGCGTCGGGTTTCCCCTGCAGTATAATACAGATCATGTTTTACAAACCGTGGTGTGCAAGATGTGGCTATGGTTTTTTGATGAAGGGAGCTACAGAGGTGCCTTAAGTAGTGGGCACAGTGTCCCCACAGACTGCAGTTTCCCCAGAAGTTTGGACTGGCAGGCCAGCCTTGCTGCAGAAGCCTGCAGTGAGAGCCCTTTTAAAACTACCCAATCTTCTCAGTCTTCCTAAAATAGGAGAAATTGGCCAACCTCAAGTCCTCCACTGCTGCGTCACATCTCTGCCCACCAAAAGAGATGCCAGCAGGTGACCACAGAGCACACTGTGCAATCTGGCTGGCAGTGAGGGTGCCTGTAGGTTCTAAAGTCTTGTCAAAACAGTTATAGTTACCCCAGTACCCACTCACTCAAAAAGGGCAGATCTTTGTGAATGGGAGGAGTGATCCCTGCCTGAGGCCAGGGACAGGGATGCTGCAGTGACTGGACTGAGAGAGAGAGATCAGGACAGATGTGGAATGCAACCAGGGGCTGTGGTGCCACACCCGTCTGTGACCTATGAATACTGCCGAGCTCTGACTAAAGGAGCACAAACACCTTGACCTGCTGGGGGGAGTAAGGGGTCCCTCTAGTGTCTCTTCAACTAGCACAGGAGTATTTTTCTTTTTTAGACGGAGCTACCCTATCTGCCCCAAACTCTCAGGTACGGAGAATCTTTGGACACAAGGAAGGAAGCACCGGTAAGCAGCAGGCTTAGGGGAGGCTAGGGCGAGTTTCTAGCCAAACTTTAGGGAACTGCTGAAGAGGGAACAGGCCCGAAAAGGCCTCATACTTCATCGGTTGGGCAGTCGTTCTCTACCCCGATGGGAGGGGGAGAGAAAACCCCGATTTTTGTTTTAGGGCCTCACTTCGGCTTACCCAGAGGTTCGTGGCCGCCTGCTACAACCCCCCGGAGTCAGTTGTGCCCACGCGGCGCCTACCCACCCGGGTTGTGCCGCCCCTCACCGTCTGGCCGTGGAAAGTGGGCCCGGCCCAAGCGGGGAGGAAGGTGTCCACCCCTCGAGCCAGGCTGAGGCAGCAGCCGGCCTGGGGCTGGGAGACCTGCCTGCTGGGCTTGGCTCAGCGGCTGTTAGCCAGGGGTGGGCAGCGCCGGCGGCCGGACAGGCCCCGCCAGGTCTGCGGCTGGGGAGGCGAAGCAGCCGGCAGGAGACGGGGGACGCTGGGACTTAGCGACGGCGGGTGAGGCGGCCCGGCCTGGCTCCCCGCGCCCGGGGCAGGAGAGCGCAGCGGCGAGGCGAGGGTAACGGCCGAGAGCCCCGGCACTACACTCCCCGCCCCGCACCGCC